AAGCAAGCTATTTCTAACAGAGAAATGTCCTGTAAACTTCCCCCCCTTCTAGCTCCCCACTTCCAGTAAACTGCCTTATGTTAATCTAAGTTTGTTATGTCCAATCAAAATTGTACTGCTCAAGTCCTTTGTTCTCACCCTTTAAAAGGTCTCTGCTGCTTCACCATTTTGGAAGCATTTGTTCACTCTGTAAAATCAGACATTTTCCCCAGTCCAGACTGTTACTGAAGCTACAATAAATCTCCTTGTTTTACTTTAACAGTGTTTATTACTCTTTGACAGGATGTATTTCATTTTTCTTGGGTATATACTTAGGAGTGGAATTGCTAGGTCATATGGTAACTCTATGTCTAATTGTTTGAGGAACGGTCATTTTGTTTTCCAAACTTACTGAACCATTTTCCATTCCCAACAGCAGTGCATGAGAGTTCTGACTTTTCCACAACCTCTCTAATACTTATCTGACATTTTGCTTCTAGCCATCCTGTTGTTGTTGTTAGGTGCTGTCAAGTCAGTTCCCACTCATAGCAACCCTACGTACAGCAGAACAAAACACTGCCCAGTCCTGCACCATCCTCACAATCATTGTTATGATTCAGCCTGTTGTTGCAGTCACTGTGTCAATCCATCTTGTTGAGGGTCTTCCTCCTTTTTGCTGACTGTCTACTCTACCAAGCATGATGTCTTTCTCCAGGGACTAGTCCCTCCTGATCACATGTCCAAAGTATGTGAGATGAAGTTTCGCTATCCTCACTTTCAATGAGCATTCTGGCTGTACTTCTTCCAAGACAGATTTCTTTGTTCTTCTGGCAGCCCATGGTATATTCAATATTCTTCGTCAATGCCACAGTTCAAAGGCATCAATTCTTCTTCAGTCTTCCTAATTCATTGTCCAGCTTTCACATGCATATGAGGCGATTGACAACACCAGGGCTCAGGTCAGGCGCACCTTAGTCCTTAAAGTGACATCTTTGCTTTGTAACACTTTAAAGTGGTCTTTTGCAGCAGATTTGCCTAATTCAATGCGTCATTTGATTTCCTGACTGCTGCTTCCATGGGCGCTGATTGTGGATCCAAGTGAAATGAAATCCTTGACAACTTCAATCTTTTCTCCATTTATCGTGATGTTGTTTATTGGTTCAGTTGTGAAGATTTTTGTTTTCTTTAGGTTGAGATGTAATCCACACTGAAGGCTGCAGTCTTTGATCTTCATCAGTAAGTGCTTCAAGTCCTCCTCACTTTCAGCAAGCAAGGTTGTGTCATCTGAATATCGCAAGATGTTAATGAGTCTTCCTCCAATCCTGATGCCACATTCTTCTTCATATAGTCCAGTTTCTTGGATTATTTATCAGCATACAGATTGAATCAGTATGGTGAAAGGATACAACCTTGACGCACACCTTTCCGGACTTTAAACCACGCAGTATCCCCTTGTTACGTTCAAATGACTGCCTCTTGGTCTAAGAACAGGTCCTCATGAGCACAGTCAAGCGTTCTGGAATTCCCATTCTTCCCAATGTTATCCATAATTTGTTATGAGCCACACAGTCAAATGCTTTTGCATAGTCCATAAAACATAGGTAAACATCCTTCTGGTATTCTCTGCTTTCAGCCATCCTAGCGGGTGTGAAATGGTATCTCATTGTGGTTTCAATTTGCATTTCCCTGAAGAACAGAAGACCTCCAAAACTGTTAAAGGATAGTTTTCAGAAAAAGGTAAAATGATGACTGTCATACAGACATAAAACGAACACGTGTCAAAGATTCTATTAAACTTATTAATTCATGTGAGTCAGAGAAGTCACCCAATGGTCTGAGCTGTCCTAAGTGTTTCAAGGATGGAACAGAGAGGGCTTGGGTGTCTGCAATCCTTCAGTTGTGAACCACAGAAGGAAACCAACTCACATTTGATTCAACAGTAAGGAATTTTGGGGTCCACATAATTGGCAAGTCCAGAGCTGTCTAGCTTTAGACACAGGTTCTGCCTCTCCCCACCTCACGGCTCTGCTAGCCTGAGCTGCCACGTTCTCAGGTGGGCTCCCTGAGTCGTTAGTTTTTACAGCTCTTAAACCCAACACCCATAGACAGATCTCCTGGTGGACTCTGATTAGCTCCACAGGGCTCATTGCCCACCCAACCCCATCACTGAGGGCAGGAGGCATGGGCACCCTGACTGACCACTCACATGGCGGGAGAGGGAACGGGGGGGTCCTGTGATTGACAGCCTCAGCAGAACCCTAGTGGCCTCTGAGCTCCTGGAAGGTGCAGTGGGGAGAATAAGGCCAGAGCTTGGAGTGGGGGAGGCCAAAGTAGCCCCATGGGGGTGGGCGGCAAACTCCCCCAAGATGGGCATGGAGGTGACTGATTCCGGAATCGCTGATGACCCGTACCCACCCCCTCACCATAACGAGAGAGGTCTGAACCAGCAGTTCCCATACCCCCGTTTTCTGGCACCACAGAAGCTGAGGTCACCTCTGAATTCCATGGAGGGGAGGAAGCCCCTTAAAGACCCCCGTCCCGACAAGCAGTGGCCTCTGAGCAGATGTGCATCCACAAAGGGACAGGACTGTGCTCTCGCCAGGTGTTGGCACACCTGCAGCCACAGCAGAACCCACACCTGCCCGCGGGACTGGCGGGAGGCAGAGGCCGTCCACCGTCAGTCATTCAGCCAGGTGAGCCCTTCCTCTTCACCCTTGCGGGCTCGGTCTGGGGGCGAGACAGCCGCACACGAGGCAGGCCACGGCCTGGGTGCTCCCCTTCTGGTTCAAGGGGCCTGGAGGCCTGTTCCTTGTGGCAGGACAGTGGGTGGCTTCAGGGGTCAGGCCTTGCCCAACCTGGGGACTGCCCTCTGGAGACAGTCAGGCACCATGGGTCCTGCCTCGGCCACTACCTTTCTTCTGGGGTCTTCTAACTACCCCAGGCCTGCAGCTCCGAGAAGCCCTGTGGGCAGGGAGGGAGCTGCGAAGGCCACTGGCCACCCTGCTGTCCCACCTGAGGTGTGGGGCCCTGCCCCGCCTAGCCAGCAGGTGCTCGGCTTCAAGGGGGTGGGGCCATGGCAGTGGGCTCTCCTGCCTCTGAGGGGCTCCCTGGGGCCTGGTGGCCTGACCCTGGCTCTTCCTTCTCCTGTTATTCTGACCCTGCCCTGTTTCCTGCCAAGCACCGACAGGAAGGCCTGTGGGGACTTCAAAGGGTAGTACCTTCCTCCCACAGCCCTCCTGCCGCCTTTAGAACCGTCTAGCCCCAGCCCCACCCCCAGGGTCAGGGCCACCTGCCTTATCTGTCCAGGAGATCGCGTGGTCCTCAGGCTGTGCACACCGATCTGCTCAACACCCATGTGGCACAAAGGACCCGTACCTACAGGGCTTGACGGGAGGGCCCTGGGAGGTGGGTCTCCCAGACCCCATCCCAGGGTGGGCAGGAGATAACAGGCCCCAGAGGACGGGGGCTCAGGCTCAGTGAGGGAACTGAGGCCCCGCTGCCCGGGGGGCTGGTGCCAGTGACCCCACCCCCAGTCCTCCTTCTGACTCCCTCCTCACTCACCACCAGGGGCAGCTTCTAAAGACCACACCCTAAAGGAGAGAAAACTCAGTCTCGTCAAGCCATCCCACCCCTCTCCCCCATGTGGGGAGCACCCTGAGAGGAGGGGTCCGGAGGCCTCCCACCCACAGGGCTGTGCTGTGTCTGAGCCAGCTTGAAACCTGACCCGCCCCAGACCAGGGCTTCTGTGGTCACGGCTGGGAGGACTCTCCCTCAGGAGTTGCCTCCTGCTCACTGGTCCTGCCCAGACAGGGAGGGGAGAAAGAGGAAGCCCTTCAAAAGCCCATGTGCAGCCAAGTCAAGGCCAGAAGGCCTCTGAAGTTCAGGACAGGCATCCGGAAACCAGAACAACCGGGGAGGGGCGTGGGCGGCCAGGGCAGGAGCCCCCTCCCTCAGCGTCTGCTCCACTGGCCGCGCCTCAGACTGCACACGCCCCTCTCTCCTCTGTGGACACTGGGTCTGGGCGCCACGTGGGGTCAGAACCCGGGTCTGTCCTGCCTCCCTCCCACGAGGCCAAGAGGAGGCAGCAGTGCCCAGCCTCTGCCCACACCCCATCACATGCTCCCCCCCGACTCTCTCAGCCCTGGCTGCCCAGTTCAGGTGCACACCCCTTCCAGGTGGCTCCAGCCCATGCGGGAGCCCCAGGCCACCTGCTCAGCATAGCTGTGGTTGGTGCTAAGGCCCTGACCCTGGCAAATGCCAACATGCAAAGGGCCTGACTGCTGACTGGAGGCAGGGCTTGGGCTGCTGGAGCCAGGGGCCACCTGCCAGTGACCCAGACAGATACCAGCTGGGTTTGCCCAAGTAAAGGGTTTGGGGCGTCTGGGGGCTTGACTGTTGAAGCTAGAAAGGTTGGTGGTTCCGGGGAGGGGGATGCTCTTGGACAGAAGGGACCTGGGATGGACAGCTGGCACCACATGGTCCAGTCTCTTCTGAGTACCACTCACGCAGCTCCCACCACAGCTCACACCTCACACGAAACCCTGGTCTAAGTCACCAGCAGGCAAGCATCATTCCCAGGTGCCACAGGGACCCCAGCTGAAACAGCCCCATTGTTATGGATTGAATTGTGTCCCCCCAAAACGTGTATCAACTTGGCCAGTCCGTGATTCCCAGTATCGTGTGATTGTGGTCACAATCATCTGGTGTGATTTTCTCGTGTGTTGTAAATCCTACCTCTACGATGGTCATCAAGCAAGATTATAGACACTTACGTTAACAAGGCAGGGCTCAAGCTGTAAGATTAGGTTGTATCTTAAATCAATCTCTTTTGAGATATACGAGAAAGAAGCAGCAGAAAAACAAAGGAACCTCATACCACCAAGAACGAAGAACCAGGAAGGAAGTGTGTCCTTTGGACCCGGGGTCCCTGCACTGAGAAGCTCCTAGACCAGGGGAAGATTGATGACAAGGACCTTCCCCCAGAGCCGACAAAGACAAAGCCTTCGCCTGGAGCCGGCATCGTGAATTCTGACTTCTAGTCTCCTAGACTGAGAGAATAAACTTTTCTTTGTTAAGGCCAGCCACTGGCAGTGTTTCTGTTATAGCACCACTAGACAACTACGACACCCATCCTGCCTGACCGTCATCCCCAGCTGGCTCTGCCCCCACCCCCTCCAGAGCCACCTGTGGAGGAGGTACCTTGCAGCGGTTGAGGGGGGGTGTCCTGAAGAACTCTCCAGAAGACTGACCCTGGGCCCTGGGAGCTGGCCTCCACCCCACCTCCAGGCAGTTCTCTTGTGGTGGGCTCCAAAGAGGAGGGGGTGGTCCTGGGGTCAGGTGGTGGACTAGGACCTATAAGAGCAGCCTAGGGGTGGCTGGGGACCAGGTTCCCTGGAAGTTGTGCCAGAGTCCTGGGAAGTGTGGAGGCTGGGGGCCCCTCTGGACAGGCAGGGTTAGTACTCCAGATGTGTGCGTGTGTGTGGTCTGTCAGGAGTAACGAATCCTCCTGCAGAAATAACAGGCTTTATTTTGCAAATTCCACAACAGGTCCCACGCAGAGAAGGACATGAGCCCGAAGCCCCGGGCTTGTCCTGGCCCTGCCTGCTCTTTGGTCCCCACCCTGGCCTGAGTGCCAGGGTCCCAAGGAGTGTGCAGGTGTCCAGAGTGTGTGTGGGGGGCAGGCGGGCACTGAGGCAGCCGGGAGGTGAAGACAGGTGGGCAGACGAGGACCCCGCCCGGCCAGCTCAGGGGCCACACATGTCCACGCAGTCCTCCCCACTGCGGAACACATGGTAGACGCTGGCAGGAGGGAACATGGCCACAGCCCCGAGCAGCGAGCCCACCTGGATGGCCCCACCTGCTGCCAGCAGTGCCCGCCGGCCCCCACCATGCAGCAGGGAGCTCACCACCACCTTCACGTAGGAGAACAGGCCCAGACACAGCATCCAGGACACCACCTGAGGGAGAGGACAGCAGGAGACTGGGCAGGGTGTCCCTCCGCTCCTCTCCCCTCCTGCTGTCCTCCCCACCTCAACGTGGGCTGGCACTCACCACAAGGGCCACCCCTGCAGAGGTGCCCACCAGGGGCGGGCAGGGGCTTAGGATCGCCAGCACCATCACGTAGGCCCCAAAGAACACACCCAGCAGAGTGACACTGATCAGGCCCGCCAGGGACCTGCAGGGGAGCGGAGACTCAGGGCTGGCCTTGCCAAAACTTACCCCAGCCCCACGCTCCACCCCCAAGGGCCTGGGGCCCCTTTCTCACCTGCACTGCACGCCCATGGCCAGGAAGCAGGCAAGGGGGTTGGCGGCACTGCCCAGCACCACGGCCAGGTGGTAGGCCAGGCGCCCGTAGGGCAGGCAAGAGAAGCTCTGCACGGCGGGCAGCACGCCATTGGTCAGAGCATTGGTGACAGTCAGCAGGCCCAGCAGGCAGACACTGTGGGCCGACAGCAGCCCGTGGGCCTTGGGGTCGGGGCTAGGGGTGGTGCCTGCCACCTGGCTCGGTGGCTCCTGCAGGGGCAAGACCTCCTCCTCCACCTCTTTCTCCTCCTCAGGACCAGCTCGTGGGGCCCCCTCCAGAAGGCCAGGACCTGGTCCCTCTGTGGGTACAGATGGTGGTGGTGGCAAGGATGGCAACAGCAGCAGGAGACCCTGGAAGGCAGCCGCCGAGGTGACCAGCAGGGCTGTCAGTGCCCAGAAGAAGGAGCTGGCAGAGAAGCGTTCCGGGAAGTAGTGGGGAGGCCCCAGGGTGCCGTTGGAGGTGGCTGGTGGGCACTTGAGGCGACCGACGCCCTGAGCCAGGGCCAGCATGCAGGGCAGCAGGGCGCTGAGGCCCTGACCCAGGAAGAAGGACCGCAGAAAGGGAGGCGGCAGGTGGCTCAGGAAGGGCAAGAAAGTGACGTTAGAAGCACAGCAGGCCAGGGCCAGGAGCAAGGTCAGTGTTAGGAAGGCCACTGAGTGGGGCTGCCCTGCCACAGGGGATACTTGGTGCCACAGGGGGCCCAGCAGGGCCATGCCCAACACACTCAGCACCTGCACCGCCCTGATAGGGGCCTGTTCACCCTTGTCCGGGGCCAGCCGCCCCCACAGCGTCACCACCAGCAGGCCCAGGTTCCCCAGCGCCACCAGCACAGAGAGGTACGAGGGGAGGCTCCAACCTGCAGGAAACGGAGGCTCGTCAGGGGCAAGGTGGCCAAAGGCGCTGGAGCAGCCTTCAAGGTGCACCTGCCTGCTTCCCTACCAGCTCTACTCACTCTCAGGGAGGTCCTTCACCACCACGGGCAGCTCCACCCAGATACCACTGACGGCAACCCAGGAGCCCATGCCGAAGAGGGCCACCAGCAGGTGGGTCAGCACCAGGTGGCCCAGCGGGGGCGCCGCCATGCAGCTCAAGGCTGGACCTTCTGGTGAAGGGCAAAGGTCACAGCCAGCTCCTTTCTCCGTTCGGGGCAAGGGAAGCCCCTTCGCCTCTTCCGGGAGCTGAAGGTCTCTTCTAGCTTGAGAGAAACGTACAGGACTCAGAGAAGAGCTCAGACTGCTGCGACCCGGAGAACTGGAGGGGACATAGGGAGGAACAGATTGAAGTGTACCAAGGAACGCTGTCTGCCTGGGGAAATCGACACAGCAATGCCCGCAGGCGGCGAAGCAGGAAGCCGCGCTGCACGCGTTACAGCCCCAGGGGAGAATGGTGGAAAGCCGATCCTCCTACTCACAGATCTGAGCCGTCAAAGCCGCCGCCGGCCCCCTTAGCCCGAAAGAGACACAGGACAAGGACCCCGGGAGAGGGGAATCTCCCAGGCGCCACGCACACTCCTAGGGCTTGTGCGCCTACCTGAGTCCATGCCTTCAGCGACACCCACGACGGCAGGAGGCAAGGCGGAATTTGAGAAGGGAAGTGGAAGCGGCGGCTCTGCCCGGAGCAGCAGCCCGGACACCGCCCTCTCGCCGGCGTCAGGTGGGCTTCGGGACAGCCGCCAGGTGCGCCGAGGTCCCTGCGCCTCCGGGTCCAGGGTCCCGCGCGCTCCCGACCTAGCTGCCCGCCTTTCCGCAGCGCTGCGAGGGGCGCTGTCCTAGCCCGGAGCCCGAGGGGCCAGGAGACGGGGCAGGGCCGGAGCGCGGGCTTGAACTCTCCCCCGAGACTCGCGGAGGCAGCAGGCAGCCATCCGCAGACCCGCCCCGGCACCGCCCACGCGCCGGAAGTCCCGCCCCGGAAGTCGAGAGCCACGGGACGGGACGCCGGGCGGGAGGAGGTTGGCGCGGCCGGACCGTTTTTTGCCTCGGGGGTCCTCACCGGTACTCTGCGCCCCGCCCCTCGGAGGCCCGCCCTTCCTGCCGAGCGCGGTGCGCGCCATGGCTCCCGGTGCGGCCCGGCGGG